GCTCTCTCTCTCTCTCTCTCTCTCTCTCTCTCTCTCTCTCTCTCTCTCTCTCTCTCTTTTTAATCTCCCTCTCTCTTGGCATCTTAGGCCTGTTCGAGCACTTGTGTCTCTGTTTCTCTCAGTCTCTATTTCTCTTCTTATTCAAGTACCTTCCTCAGATGCTACTCATTTTCTTCCAAATGTAGGTTCTGCAGAGCATCAGAATCACAAACACTAGTGAAAATAAACAGTTCCAGCCAACAATTTCATTGGCACTGAGCATTCTGAGGGTCAGATGGGCTCCTAGACATTGATGGGTGACCTTTTAGAAGGAGTGGTGGGGCGGACACAGTAGTTGAGCTAGGAGTCTCTTTCTCAGTCACTTTTAATCTTGTGATTCCTTGGAAGTGTGAAAAGAATTCTCCTGATTTCTTTCTTTCCTTCATTATACACTGGTGGTACCAGGCACCGTGCTGCCCACATTCCTTAGCTCGGGGCCCCTCCATCTTCAAAGCCAGTTGACTTGCTTAGCTGCATCACCCTGACTTCTGCTTCTTCACATTTCCTTTGCTGACACTCCTTTGAGGACCCTTGGGGTCCTATTGGGCCCCCTCGAATAATCCAGGATAATCTTCTCACCTCAAGATTCTTAACTTAATCATATCGGCAAGGTTCCTTTGGCCACATAAAGTAACATATTTACAGGTTCTGGGGATTAGGAAGTGGCCATCTTTGGGGGACTATTTTTCTGCCTACCACAGGGCTCATGAAAATCTTTCAATTTTTTTTTAAACCAGAAAAAGAGAACTTTTAGGTAGAAAAAAATGGTTTCATATAGAATATTACTATATTTGTCTTTAGACCAACAGAGCAAGATATTTTTAATATTATGGAAAAAGAGGGCCCCAAAGTTAAAAGAAAAATGCTTAGGTCCCAATGAAGGCACATTCTTACAATGTAGCCAAAGCAGTATCTGTAAGGGGAGTTGCAGTGGAGAGCACACATCTTAGAATCACAGAATCCATTAATAATTCACCTTGGCCAAGTGTTTATCAAGTAAATAAAGGGTTGATGGAAAAAACAACTGATTAGCATCCTCTAGTACACATAGTGGTGACAGTAAGGGGTTTGTACTTAGACAGAACTAGGATTCACATTCAGACTCTTTCACTCACTAGCTGAGTGACCTTATAAATTACTTAACCTTCACAAGCATCAGTTTCATTATATAGGATCATATCTTCTCTCCTAGGATTAACGTGAATAAGTGTGATAAGGCATACAAAGTATTGATCACAGTGCCATGCCCACAGTGGGCACTTAATAAATGGCTGCTATTCTTGCTACTGTTTTTATTACTTTTATTATCACTATTATAATGATTAAATAATAGCGATTATAGTTTTTAATCCATATAGTTAAAAATCACATCATCTGCCTCCAATATTTTTTTAAATTGAAAAACCAAACGTCAGTGGGGATAAGAACTTAGAGGGTCCACATTTAGAAGGTGGGTCATTTGTCCCCAGCAATAATCTGGACCCCCAAAAAAAGTAAACTGTGCCTGGCAGACTGAATGCTAGCCTTCCTCATTCTTTGGTGTGCAGTGTCCAAATCAAGCAATTTTATCAGGCCAGTGGGCATTCTACTGCAGAAAACAAGAAAGAAGCAGAGTCATCCTTCAAGATACTAGTTCCAGAGTCTAGAGCTATGCTGTCCAAGATGGCAGCCACTACCCACCCATATGTGGTTACTTAAGTTTAAATTTAAAATTAAAATTAAAAATCCAGGTCCTCAGTCACACTGGCTACCTTTCAAATACTAAAGAGCCATATGTGGGTAGTGGTTGAACAAGGCAGATGTAGAATTTTTTCATCATCACAGAAAGTACTATTGGACAGTGATGAATCTAGTCTAGAGCAGGGGTCGGCAAACTTGAGACGGAAGAGCCAATCCTGTCCCTCACAACAATTTAAAAATTACTCGAGAGCCATAAAACAAATGAAACCACCATTATGTGAATAATACCCTTTAAAAATTTTATAAATGAAACTATGATAGTTTTATTTTCATTTTCAATTTTACTTCAGAGCCACATGTACGTACCCAAATTGCCGCACGTGGCTCGCGAGCCACAGTTTGCCGACCCCTGGTCTAGAGTATTAGTTGCCTTAAATATACTATGTAAATAAATCCAATTATTATTTAATATGATCTAACTTAAAACCATATAACTATGCAACCTGGTGGATCATAGGTCTTAGAAAAACCAAGATTTATCTCTTTTTTCATTTCAGTTAGATGTTTTAATTTTTTATCACAAATCATCTACAGCACTCATAAAGGTCCATATTATGTTTGTATAAATTCTGTGGTTATGCTTATATAACAATACCTCTCCCCACCCCAAGGTAATTTAAGGGAAAACAGAACAAAAACAGTAAGCAACTATGACAAACTAACTGGTTAACAAAGTTCGGATTATTTAAATTCTCATTAGTCTTAGAATTGAAACATTTTTATTGTAACTCACAGGAGAAAGTATATTTTACATTGTGACTTAGGGCAAGCACACACAAACACAACTGAAACAAAGTTTTCACAAAGTAATACTAACCCTTACCACAGGTGATATATTCTGTTTCTATGTCCTCCTATTCCTCTTTTTCTTCTTCCCCCTCCTCCTCCTCCTCCTTTTCTTTCTTTAGTGCTGGTTATCCACTATACTGATTTCATGACTCACAAAAGGGGTCATGACCTAGAGTTAGAAAGACATTGATTTAGACCGGATTGTAAACTTAAATGCTTGAAGTTGGTGGGCAAGTAACACAAATGGATGGAAAGAGCTGTGTGAGTCTATGGGAAATGGAGAGCACCGGTGCCCCTTGAAAATGCACGGTGGCTACTCAGCTCCAACCGATTGTCTCCATGTAGAAACATAGGTCTCTGTTGCTAGAACTTGTGATCATTCAAGAGAAGCCAAATATCCAGATATTTTTGTGAAGCTTTCCAATTTTAAAGTATGGCAACTAATTCTTAAAATTTTTAAATGCATGTCAGCCAAACAAAGCAAATCTCTCATGTGGTATTGTTCTGAGTAAAGATTAATTTTCTAGTTCCAGGAGTAGAACTGGAAGCAGGCTCTTTTTCAGTAAAATGAGAATCCAAATTCCCCAGAATGGATAGAGCACACTCCTTCTGTCATTTCATGACCTAGTGGGAAAAAAGGAGGGATCCGCAGCTGATGAAGGGGTGAAAGTGATCATTTCTCTTGGAATGAGGCCATGTTGGGTGTCCACAGACTTCCAAGAAGGGCACGGTGGTGGTGGTGGTGGTGGGGGGGGGGTTAGTCATTCTAATAGCACAGAGTCCTCAAGAAACTGAGTTTAACCTTGTCCAATCAGATGAGAGAGAGAGAGAGAGAGAGAGAGAGAG